GCAGTTCGATGGCCCGATCGGGGTCGAACCGGATGATGTAAAAAATATTTATTATATTTAAATATTATAATAATGATGCAATTATTTATTAATATATAACAAAAATTGAACATGATTATTGTGTTAATTCAAACAGGCAATAAGAATTCAACCAGAGTAATAAATGAGAATTTATTAATACCGCATGAATTAATTAGACTCAACCTTATGCTACTTCTTCCATGCCACAAACTAATAATTTCATGTGTTCTGATGCAAGAAAAAAAAAACATGAATTAACATATAAACTAAAGAGTAAAGAATCAATATCAAATGAAATTGGTGAAGGCAAGGTTTAAAATTGCGTAACTAAGCCTTGAGGCAGTTTTCGTCCGTGAAGCGAGGCGTAAGCCTCACGAACACAGAATTGCGTAAATGAAAAATTAAGGATTTTAGCAGGAAAATAATAGCAATATTGTACCTTACAATAAAAACATCTAAATGATATATGAAAATAGTGGAAAATAAGAAAATAGATGCAATAAAATCATGTCCCAAAGTACAAAATCACAAAATATTAGTTTAACAAAACTCCCAAAATACAAAAAACATATAAAATGAAATCATATCCCATCACTAAATGGGTCTTCAAGTGAATCTTCTTCTCCAATTGTATCTATGAATGCCATGTCATCATCATCTTCAACATGACTCACTTTTCTCTTCCCTGTTCATTAAGAGAAAAGATTATTATCATGTATTCATGTTCATTGCTCACTTGACATAAATGTAATGTAATAGCATATAAAAAGTTGTGGAATACCTTTACTTGATTGTTGTGCTGCAGAGCTAGTGGATGTGTGTGGTGTAGTACTAGTGGATGTGCCAACTTGATCTGCTTCGCCCCTCAAGACATCCACACATAGATCTTCTAACTGTAAGTCTGATAATGGCAAATCTGTCTCATCATCTATGAACCACTCATTATCAGACGACATATCATCACACACTAATGGGTCCTCATCATCCTTCAACCCCTTATTCCTCAACCTCCTCTCTCTCAACCTCTTGTTGTGCATAATATATACCAGAGAGTTCATTCTGAGTGTTGATAGCCAATTTCTTCTCTTTGTTTCTGCTTCGCCCCTCAATACATCCACATTTAGATCTTCTACCTGTAAGTCTGATAATGATAAATCTGCCTCAACATCTAAGTGTTTGACAGTGGTAGTTTTCTTCATGTAAGCACATATTTCTTCCTTCACATTGTCCGGCACTTTTGCACAAGGTGCTACGTTCTTGTGAGAGCATGATAAGTGCTCCTTCATGCGGGTTACTCCGCCCTTCACAACTTTCTCACAGAAATTGCACTTTAAATAGACATAGCTCTTCTCTCCGCCGCCAATGTCAACTTGTACACTATACTTCCAAGAAGGGTCCCTCCGCAATGACGTATTCGTCTTTTCTTTACCTCTAACCATGTCTCCTAAAGCAAAAAACCAAATACACAAAAAAAAAAATCAAAAAAACCTAAACCCTAGTTTTTCTTAAACTTGAAAATTATAACCCTAAACTTAATAAAAATACCTAAAATCCAATGTGGAGTACTCCTAGAGGGCGGCCGGAAGTTTCCACTTCGCCGGAGAGAGGCGGCGCCGGCGGGAGAAGCGGCGGGAAGGAGGCCGACGGCGTGCGGGATCTCTGTTTCGCGAACTGGAGCGTGCGGGAGGGGAAAATGTCGGGTTTGCTGAAGGCTTTCGGGTATAAGGAGAGAAAAGGGTTCATTTTAAGTGAGTGGGCCCTATCCCAGTGAGGCGTACGCCTCACCAGGAATTGCGCAATTGCGCCTCTGAGGCACGCCTCAGTCCTAGTGAGACGTACGCCTCTTAAAGACTTGGAATTGCGTAGGTTATGAGGCGTTTTTGGGAGGAATTGCGCAAAGGCGCGCCTTGGTGAAGGATTCCTCATCACCAAAAGACATACAAGAATCAATACCGCATGAATTAACAATTTTTTTTTTACAAAAAAGTGAAGAAGAAGACTTGGATAACACTCATAGCAGGACCGGATATACAAAAAGGTGACATTACATAAAATATACCATTCACCTCACATTCCAAACCAGAGAAAACAGAAACCCCTAAATGCATAAAAAAGCATACATACAAGAAATCTATACAGATTAAAGACTTCAGATTCTGAAACAAACCAGGACGTCCGGCGGTTGGCTTGTGGTTTCACAAACGAGTACGCATGTAGGAGGGATGGGGTTGGCTTCTTGATTCACGAACGAGAAGATTGGACACGGTGGGTCGAGAGCTTCAAATGAGAATTTTTTTTCCTCTGTTGTTTGAAGCCGAAGAGTCGAGAGCGGGCATTCGATGCGAATGAGGGTTTTTTTCCTCCGTCGTATTAGCTTTCCCTCAAATCTCTGTCGTTGGATCTAGCTAATCAACGAGGTATCCGAATCGGTTGGTTATCAGAAACCGGAACCAGTTCGGTGGTCGGACCGCCGATTCGAGCGGGTTTATCCCGATTTTCAGCGAAACAGATTCTCATTTGAACTGTAACCGGCCAGCCGGCCAGTTCGCGGTTCAACCGGTCGGTCCGGTTTTAAAATCCTTGCCTAAAGCTATTCATCCTTAATCGAGAGTTCTCTTTTATGCAGTAGGGGGGGTGATTAACTATGTGTGCTTGCGCTCAGAGGAAGTAAAGACCCAAATCTAAATAAACCTTGATACAATCTTTAGGAGAAATATGGTTAACTAAAAATCAACTTACCTTAAGGAGAATGTAATCCTAAGTTTGAAATGCAAGATTAGGGATGTCAATATTGGATCGGACCCAAAAACCCGACTCGAATATTTCAAGTTTGGGTTGACCCGAACCTGAAACGGGTCGGAATCAGGTTCAACAATTCGACCCATTTCAAAAATCGGATTGGGCTCGGGTTGTCCCGTTGACCCGAAATTGACCTAAAATTGACCCAAAAACCCGTTTTGACCCGACAACCCGAGATTGACCCGTTTTTGGACCCAAAAACTAGCGGTTTTTTGTTGGCACCGGGTCATTCGGGTCGGGTCGGGTTTGGGTTTGGAAAATCGACCTGTTTGCAAAAACGTGTCGGGTTCTGGTTGACCTAATAGTGCCGGGTCAGTTTCGGGTTCAACCCGAACCCGACCCGTGACCCGAAATTGACACCCCTATGCAAAATTCATGCCAAAGCATCATTTTTCTTGAGCAAACAATCTTCATATATGTCATGCACATGTGTCGGTGATTGTACAATTTCACTAAGCTTAGACTTGTAGGCGCTCACAAAGACACAGGTTTTTGAGATAGAAAATTTGTAACTATTTCAAATCAACTCGTATCTATGGACTAAATGAAATATATGTAAAATCCGTTGTAGGCATATCAAATTCCAACAAGATAGATGCTTGCTTTTTAATTTGACATCACAACCGATCGACAAAAATCTTATTAACTTTCTTAGGTAATTGTGGGTGATAAGAACTTGAAGTTATATTTCTATTTTTTTTCTCTAAGTTTTTTGAAACGTAACTCATGAAGTTATAATTTATGCCACTGTCTGACACAATAGTTTTATTAAGTGAGATGCATTAGTAGTTTTATAATATAAAATGAATTGATCCATTTTAGAGAAGTATTCCACTATAGTAAAGAGAGTCATGTTTCCTAGAAGTCCATTATAATTCTAACACAAAATTCATACACACATTCTCTTTAGATTTATAATAAATGGATAAAGGAGAATCTAGATTGATGATATTTCTTTTCGTTTTATCATTTTGACATGATCTGCATTGTGAAATAATTCATAGTCCATCTCTTTGTAGACTTGGCTCTATCTTAGATATATCCTTGTGCACCAAAATATCCCGCAACATAATCGTCTTGTAATTCTAGGACAAGTCTCTTAAAAATTAAGAAAAAATACATAAGTCTTTCTAAAAAGGAAACCGCCCTTAATTGAAAGGCCTTTGTTAAACATAGATTAGCCACTATTTAAGTTTTTATGTATATCATTAAGTCCTTACAAGTGGTATGATTATCTTTAATATGACCAAAAAAAAAACCGCTTTAACCTTCATTGTGTGCAATGGTAGTAGTAACCCTACTCCATGCATTAATAGATTTATTTTCTTCCCAATGCAATCGTTTAGTGCATCTGTGTATTCGTAGAAAAATTCAACCCATTTTGCATTTTATTTCCTAATCTTTTATGTATTCAAATATTTTTAGTTTTGGTGATCAAAATGTAGGAGTAACTCTATATGTATTGTCTCCAATATCAAAGTGCTTGCACAACAACATAAAATTCTATCTTAATTTGAGTATTTTTGCTTTGCCTCATACATTTTTTTTTCCTCAAGCAAGCAATCAAATGGCTCTTTTGATTCAAAACTCTCCCAATACCTACACGCCTGAATCATTACACGAAACCTCAAAAATCTTGTAAAATCAGATGGTCTAAACTCACGTGCATTAGTATGCTTTTCTTTAATATCAGTATAAGCACGATAAAACTTTGTCCATTTAAACTCTCCCTTTTTTAAAAGTGTTTATAATAATTGCCATTGCAATCCTAAATCCTTTAATGAATCATCTCTAGAAGTTGCCATAATTTGGCAATGTTGTGAAAATTTCATCATTCTGATGATATGTTAATTGGTTTTGATATTGAGCCCCACTTTAGGTTATGATATCAAATTTGATGCATGATATCTTAGGGTCTAGGGTTTTCTAGTGCGTACGTAGTATGGAATGCAGAAAATAACACACAAAAGGTTTAATTCTTAGCAGAAACTTCAAATAATGTAATATTTATTCTCTTTTGATCAAAACCATAGAAATTTTACAAGAAGTTTTAGATCAATAAAAATCACACAATGATAAAGATTCATAGTGCAATCAGAAAGTCCAGAATTTAAGATATTTAAACAAATAACATTTGTTGTGTTTGCATCAAATTTGCTAATAGATTTTCTCTTTTGCAGATCCATTGGTTCTCAATCTTCAATTCATTTATGATGGTTATTTTCCTCACTGGCCTGGTTTCTATGATTCTTATGAGGACTCTTAGAAATGATTATGCAAAATATGCTCGCGAAGATGATGATCTGGAGACACTGGTGATTATACACAACATTTTAAAATTTTAATCTTTTGAAATGATGCTTTCAAAAAATTTATGAGTTTCCTAAATTTTTTCATATATCTCATCTCATTGTTCTGCTTTTATTGTTTATCTGGAATCAGAAGGCAGTCTAAGTTTAGCATTTGTATACTCATACGCATCTAAATTTATTAGGAAAGAGATGCGAGTGAAGAGTCTGGTTGGAAGCTTGTTCATGGAGATGTGTTCAGACCTCCTCGTAATTTGGTTCTTCTTTCTGCTCTTGTTGGTACTGGTTCTCAGCTGGCGCTGCTTATTCTCCTTGTCATTTTGCTGGCAATAGTTGGGATGTTGTATGTTGGGTATGTTAAATGCACCTCATTATTCCAAATTATGCATTTGAGAAGAAAGTCTTGAAATTAGCTGATGCAATATAAGATCATTGATTTAGTTATAGATTGATAGGATCAACATAGATTATCATCTTTCTTATCATTTATAAATAGAGCATAAATTTTTCCATATATGGGTTTGTTTGCTCGAATATTTTACCATTTTAAAGAGTCGGTTCAAAGCCAGTTTAATTCTTTGCACGGCTCATGTTATTGCATTTGATTGTGCTCTCATTTATTCAAATATCTGAACTTATATCCCATATTGATATGCTGTACAGTTATCTAGTGTCTCATGATTTCCTCAAGCTGCTCTTTGTGTGAGGCTTCGTTTGGGACGGCTTTCTTATTGCTTCTTAAAACAACTTTCTAGTATAAAATTTTTAATTTTTGTATTAAAAAACTGTTTTAAGAAGCGGTAAGAAAGCCGCCCCAAATGATGCCTGAGTTTGAAAAAAGCTAAACGTTTTTTATTGTCTTCTCTTATTGAAGTGTCTGAACTTATATTTTAAACTGATACCTTTCATTATCCTTGGCTAATAGGGGTGTCAATATTTGACACGACCCGAAAACCCGACCCGAAAATTTCGGGTTAGGGTCAACCCGAACCCGAAACGGGTCGGGTTTGGGTTAACATTTCGACCCGTTTCAAAAATCGGGTCGGGTTCGGGTTAACCCTTTGACCCGAAATTGTCCCGAAAGTGACCCGATTTTGACCCGAAAACCCGATTTTGACCCGCCAACCCGAGATTGACCCGATTTTGACCCGAAAAGAGGAGATTGTCCTGTTTTTGACCCGAAAATTAGCAAATTTTCGGTTGAAAACGGGTCATTCGGGTAGGGTCGGGTTGACCCGGAACCGACCCGTTTTTAAAAACGGGTCGGGTTCGGGTTGACCCGAATAGTGCCGGGTCAGTTTCGGTCGGGTTCGACCCAAACCCGACCCGTGACCCGAAATTGACACCCCTAGTTTCATTAATGAATTTGATGATGAACTTAAGGAGTAATCTAAGAGGCCTCGTGATGCTATCTTTATGAGCTTTAGTTGATTTCTGGGTTCTTGATCTGCCCATTTCATCGTTGGCATTGATATGGACTATTTTGTATTCTCTGATGATATTCTATGGAGCCTAACAGTTTTAAACGGCCACAGGCGGGGAGCTATTCACACAACTTTTATCTTGTGCTATGCTTTCACCTCATTCATTTCGGGCTACGTTAGTGGTGGTCTTTATTCCAGAAATGGTGGTATGGACTCCCAATTGAATTATTATAAATATTACTTGATGGCATGATTGGAACTATTTATGTTTTATATATTTGTTCACATAAGAATTCATACTTCATATTTATATTTTCTTGTATTTTCTGGTTAGGTAAAAATTGGATCAAGTCGATGATTCTCACAGCATCTCTTTTCCCATTTCTGTGCTTTGGAATTGGCTTTGCACTGAACACAATTGCCATATTTTATCGGTCACTAGCAGCTATTCCCTTTGGAACAATGGTGGTGGTTTTTGTAATTTGGGCTTTCATCTCATTTCCCCTCGCACTTCTAGGCACTGTGGTGGGTAGGAACTGGAGTGGCGCTCCTAGCAATCCATGCCGTGTGAAGACCATACCTCGCCCAATCCCTGAGAAAAAGTGGTATCTCACTCCTTCCATTGTTTCACTCATGGGCGGTCTTCTTCCTTTTGGTAGTATCTTCATTGAGATGTATTTTGTTTTCACATCTTTCTGGAATTACAAGGTAAGCATGTAATATATATTTATATTTTATATTTTGGATTGTTATTATCTTTGTTTATTGATGTGCAATAAAATTATTTGGAGAAAATTTTTATCAGGATATTTTGATCAAATTTTAATTAAGATGTTATTAAAACTATTATATTTATCTTGAGATGAAGCTCAATACTTTAAAATTAAACAAAATATAAAGTGTGCTCATTTGAAAGCAAATTCGACATCTTTAAGCCAAACCCCTCATGATTAAAAAATTGGTCATAATTTTTTCTTTTTGAAAAAAAAAGTAGGCTGCTTATTAATGATTGTTCACAAAAACAAACTTGGACCTTCTTTCTGGTCTCTTTTGGTAAAATTTTCATTTCTCTCTCTTTCTTTGGCAGGTTTACTACGTCTACGGATTCATGTTACTTGTTTTCCTGATTCTGATTATCGTTACAGTCTGCGTTACCATTGTCGGCACATATTTCCTTCTAAATGCCGAGAACTACCATTGGCAATGGACATCATTCTTCTCTGCTGCTTCTACCGCTGCATATGTCTATCTTTACTCCATTTACAACTACTCTGTGAAGACCAAGATGACGGGTTTCTTCCAGACCAGCTTCTACTTTGGCTACACCCTCATGTTTTGCCTGGGCATTGGAATTCTGTGTGGTAAAGACTTTTTTCTTATATGATTTATACAGTAAAAGCAACATCAACTCTTTGGTTTCGTTTGAGATAACTTTTTTACTGCTTCTTAAAATAATTTTTTAGTACAAAAAATAAAATTTTTGTATTAAAAAGCTACTTTAAGAAGAAGCAAGAAAGTTGACCCAAACAAAATCTTTATCATACTATGTGAGGTCAGCTACATGATGAGTCTCAAAATCATTGAATTTATTTTGAGATAAATAATTTATTTTGAATTTATTTTGTGATTCATCTTGACCACCTTTGAATTACTATATATTAGAACACAAAATTCTATGATTTATGCGTACATTTATATTAAAACTGAGCTGGTGAAATACAGGTGCGGTGGGTTATCTGGGCTCATCTTTGTTCGTGAGAAGAATCTATAGAAACATCAAATGCGACTAGCTTTAGATGAAGTTGGGCATTGCCATGGCTTTTATTGCCTGTGGAGCAAAAGATGAAGATGCATTGCTCTCTAAAGTTCAATTTTTGGAGATCACTTCCCCTTCATTACCACCGTTTTTCATTTACTTGAGGACTGAGATCTCGTATTAGGTGACTTTTTGAATTTTTAGCTAATATTTGTTGTAATCTATTCCTTTTTTTACATTTTAGAAGAGTTGTTGCGGTTATTATTAGTAACACAGACTAACCTGTCTGTTTTGATGTGATCTGTGCACTCAAAGATGATTTTTCCTTCTTCAGATTGATAAACGTGTACTAAGTGCCGCAAGTTATTATAGTTTATTATTAGTTACATTTTAAAAGAAATCATAAGCAGTTTGGTACAAGTTATTCTTTTAAATATATTCCAAGTGGTGCAAATTATTGTCTGAAATTAAGTAGGTGAGGATATCTTAATCAAATTCTTTCTTTGCATGGATTTGTTTTGAGTTTAGTTTAATATGTGAGTTTATTCATTATTTATATATTATATATTTGTTTTGATAAGGGTAATTTAAATGTTGATTGATTATTTGTTTATTATATTAATTTTAAAATAAATTTAATGATTTTAAATTTTGTTATGGTCAAGTTTGGGTTAAGATATATTGGCCCAAATGTTTTTATTATGATTTATTAAAATTTAAATTAACCAAGTCTTTGATAATGAAAAAAGTAGTTAAATGTTGTCTTTTAACTATTGCAAATCCTTGCAATTTGAAGTTTTTTCTTTTGTTCTTGGTGAAAGATATGTGATGATAAGTGGTTCTATCATTTTAAATAATTAATAATTTTGCCATTGACATGCTTCGAACATTGGATTGATGGTAAGTATTGAAAATAAGATGATGGCAAACAATCAAGTTGTTCGAGCTGAGGGGCTGCCATTATTTAACTTTTGATGTTCCCGGTTGATGCAAGCTGGCAATCAATATCTAATGTTGAATGTGGACTCGTCTTACTAATTGCTTAGTCTATCCTCTTATATGGAGATGTACAACCCACTTGACCACCCATCATATCTTGACTTCCAACATTCCTTATTAACCTTGCATGACATTACCAATAGCTAACATCAAATATTTGGTAGTCATTGATGTATAATGATGTTCCATATCACTTGGAGAACAATTGAGTTAAGTTGTTCGATATCACTCTTTTTATGATTATATATGATTATTCCTTACACCAAAGAGCGAATTGCAACATTAATCAGCTATCAAGGAAAACATAAGCATTTTGGTTGTCAATTAGCCCTCATCTAAGGAGAAAAAAGAGTTAGATTGCCTAATAGTCGCCAGTGATTGACGTTCTTCATTTATTGTTTCCTAACATCAATCGATGACCAACTCATGCCACTATCAATCACTGACATCCAATGCTTATCTCTTACCAAACCGATTATCAATCGTCACTTGATAATAATTAAAATACTTCCCAACTTTTTTTTACACCACATGAGATATCTTTCACAGTTTATACACATTATATTGTACTAATGTATCCCTCAAATATATAAAAAAAAACATCCTTTTAATAATCATCTTACTTTGTTAGAATCTTAAATTCACAATAATATAGATGATTGCATGTTTTTAATCATTTTTTATTAAAATGTTTAACTTTGATATCAAGAGTATAAAAAAAAATCATATTTGTATTTAGTATTATAAATTTATAATACTTCACATAGGTTTATGAAGCCATGATATTTTTCTGATTTTGACGACATGAGATATAAATAGAATAATATGAGAAGATAAATGATAAAATACTTATATTCAATTAATTATATGACTTTAAAAGTATATCGTATATATATATATATATATAAACTTCAACCCTCTCTCTAATCTTATCTTATCAGCAAAAAGAATATCATCAATAAAAAACATAACAAGGCATCTTGCAAATGTCAAGTAAAATATTAAAAACATCCATAACTAAAGAAAAAAAGATATGAGCTTAAGTCTGATCCTTGATATAATTCAACTGAAATAGGAAAACATTTGATCAAACCACCTTCCGAGTTTGATCATTTTAATACAGAGCAATAATACTGCAAACACATATATCAATAAATTATAATAACTCATATGAGATATAACATTTTTTATCTAAAAAATTCATAAGATCCAAGTAATCCAAGCAAACCTAAACCTATATATGCACCATAACTCTCTCCCACATTTTTAAAGTATAAAACATTAACTAACAAGATAATATCAACAAATAATCAAAGAAAAACCATTAAAATTAACCTTAAAAGAGAAATCGGTTTGTTTGGGGTCGGAAACGGTCGGCGGTCGGGCGTCGGAGTAAAGGGGTCGGCGGCGGTCGGACTGGGGATGGCGGCGGTCGGACAGGGGTCGGCGGCGGTCGGAATGGGGTCGGAGGCCGGAGTTCCTTCGTCGGGGGCTGATCGGACGAGCGGAGGAGCGATATGAGCGAGCGGCCGAGAGAGAGAAGGAAACAGGGAAAATGAAATGAGCGGAGCGAGGGGGCTCGTATTAGGGCTTTTACCGGCGGTTTTCCGGCGGTTTAAACCGCCGGTAAAAAATCACTTATCACCGTCGACTAAAACCGCCGGAAAACCGACGGTTCACGTCTATATCCGGCGGTTTACCGGCGATTTAGACACCGTCGGTATTACCGACGGTTTATCGTAGCTAAGCCGTCGATTAAGCCGTCGTTATCGTCCGACGGCGTAACCGCCGGCGTAGCCGACGGTAATACCGACGGCCTCTAAACCGCCGGTTTTCACTGTTTTTCCTGTAGTGTACTCCACGCAACTTCTCAGTTCTTTACTTTCTTTCTCTCTTTTTGCTTTCCCTCTTCCCGTTAATGGAATCATCCCACCCTAATCCCGCCGGCCGTTCTTCATCCCTACGTTACTGTTACTGCCGCTGTTTCCGCCGCTGCTGCCGTTGTTTCTGCTGTTGTTACTGCTGCTCTGCCCCCGTCGATATAAAATTTTAAAGCTTGGGATATATGGTTTGACAGGGCTTTAAGCTCACAGCTTTCGATTCCCTTCGACTACCACTGTTCGCGGCGGCTCACGATGTAGCTGATCGATCGAAATTCAGAGAATCAGCATGATGGATGCGTCTTTCTTGATGGCGGGGCGGATTCCGAGGATGGACAGAGCGGGGAGGAGTTCAGCATACTCGGTCATCCTATGAATCTCAAGCGGCAGAGAGAAGATTCCTCATCTCCCTACTCCTTTTCATACCTTAGTTAATCCAAGAGAGCGTTCATTGAGTCTGACCCCGAATCCATGACAGCAATCGTTCGGTCGTGGCGGAACAATTCGTTGCATGTGGCTGATCCAGCCGTGCATGATATCACGGAGAAGGAGAGGCATAGGCAGATCAAGGGGATATATCTGATGGCCTCCGCGAACTACGTTTGACAGGCCGTCCTCGATGCGCTAGGAAGTCATTTGACGGACAGGTATTCAGGGGGAACGTCGGGGCTCGTTATTATGCGGGGAATCAATACATTGATAAATTTGAGGGTTTGTGCTGCGAGCGAGCTTTGGCGGCGTTAAATACTGCACTTTGAATTTTAGTGCGGCACTATTCTGATGTGCGACATGGCTTGTATCAGTGGAGTTGTGGCCGCCAAGGTTCGTTCTTCCCGTTGAAAAGTTAGTCTCTCTCGTGTATGTTTTTGCTAGGGTTGGCTGTTCATATGTAGTTTAGTCTTAAGGAGTGGTGCTTTTAAGTTTTCTGAGTAAGATGTCCTCTTTGTTTATAGGATATTTGTTCCTTGGAAAAATTGCAGTGTACATTTTAATATGTTGGCTGCTAATATTAAATGATAATTTTCTTTTCAAATCAACAATGACAGTAAGATATCTTTCTTTGGGAATCCTTGTTACATGGTAAATATTTAGTATTTTGCTTTCAAATTGTTCCGTTCTCTGTATTGCTTCCAGAAAACACTAGCACTTGGAAGCTCCGTCATTCCCTTCTTGTGGCAATGAGGGCTACTGTGGATGATGCTTTTTTTTTTTTTGAGATGGAAGACTAAGCCTAAGCACAAAATTTTTCTAAAAACATAATATCATGGTTGGCCTCGTGTTGGATGGATAGGAATATTTGGCATAAGCACTCTCTTAGATATTCTGTATATACGTGGCTTGCTCTAAGGGGTTAAAAATTGATGATACTCTAATTAAGAGGCATATCCCTATAGCTCTTCAATGTAGTCTGTAATTTAGAAAGGTCTGCACGCATTTTCTTTTAATGTGATTTCTATTTTTTCTTACTTTGTATGGAATTTGTTGTGTTAATCAATCAGGTTGTATTGTTGACTCAAATCTTAATTTATTCGAGGAGCTCACAGGGGGGTTGTAGGGGGCAGCGTGCCCCCTGCTTAGAGGCAAAGACTTGTAATAAAATTTTCTTTTAGTATGGCCCTACATCAGCATGACGGTGTATGTTTGGAGTGTTGCAGTGCTTCAGGATCGAGTTGAGACAGAGAGTGGAGTGTTGTGGTGCTCTGACCTCAACATCGTGTCACGGCGCTGTGAATCGTGCTGGAGGCAGAGAGTAAAGCACTGTGGTGCTTTATACCCTGACGCCGTGGCACTACGAGTTGGGCTAAGCATTTCTCTTCCCTTTTCTTATTTCACTTCATGGGTTGCATCCTTTGGATGTTTTAAGTTCGTTTATTGTCTGTTTTGAGTGGATAACTATATGTGAATGGAAGAGAAAAAAAATGAGTGAGAAGAGAATTTTGTACAATTTCTCTCAATTTTATTGTGAATTTTTTGGTGTGGTGTCACTCCGTGATTTTTTTTTACTGATTTTTAGGTTTCTCACGTTAAATTCTTTTTTTCTTTCTTTTTCACTATACTTATATTTTTCTTATTTGTTTCATGGCGTGATTTTTTTCACTTCCCAATAGAACTATACAATGTTTTAGCTCTTTTATGCTCGGCATGAATATTCTGCAAATATTTTATTTTATTAATGAACTTAAGCGTGCCTCTTTTGCAACTAAAAACTCTAGCTATTTTGCTATTTCTTCTCTCATTTATCACCTTTGGGGATAAAGAAATAGCAAGTGGTTAGAGAATGGAATAACTAACCAAACAACCTTATTTACTTGGATTAAATGGAGTATGATTAAAAAATTTAAAGCTAGGAACATCTCAGACAATATCTAAGAGGCATTTTCTTGGGATTGAGCTTTCAGTTGGGTAAAAGTGATGATATTTTGTTTCACCATTTCTTCTATCGGTATTTTTTTATCTCCTGGGCATCCTTTTCGTTGTACTAGAAACCAAGGATTATCTTCAGGTTGCCTATTTTTATTCATGAGTGAATTTTTCAACTCT